CCAGAGTGTCCTAACCAAATTTTAATAGGTTCCAGAGTGTCCTAACCAAATTTTAATAGGTTCCAGAGTGTCCTAACTAGACTTTAATAGGTTCCGAGAATGTCTTAACAAGACTTCAGAAGGTTCCGGAATGTCCTAACCATACTTTAATAGGTTCCGAAGTGTCCTAACCAAACTTCAGGAGGTTCCGAGAATGTCTTAACAAGACTTCAAAAGGTTCCGGAATGTCTTAACCAGACTTCAGAAGGTTCCAGAGTGTCTTTGGAGCTTTATGGTGCTTTCTTGATCAGCCTGGTTGGGTTCTGATGTCTGGCTAGGGTTTGATGTGCCGAAATGAACTATGAATATCCTCTCTGACACTTTATGGATCTAACATTGGCTAAAACTATTGATAATTGTGTTCACCTAAGTCTTGAGTTTCTAAAAGACCCTCTTCTTGAACGAAGAGATCGACATTCGGCATCTTCATACTGATCCTCCTCATGGTTGAGACTCGTATGTGAGTTGGAATTCCTGACCACGCCCATCAAGAGATGTAGCAAGGACGGACGCTAAAGATGTGAAACAGTGCCAAGAGTTCATTTAAAAAAAAATAATATCAAACAAAGTAGTAAATGTAACAGATAAAATAGTTCCGTTTATCTTGCGAACCATTTTTAATTAATGAAGATATTATGGCACTAAAGTTAGAGAAACAGAAAACGAAATTTGCTCTTCAGATTATTTGTTTGTTTGTTTTGAATTTCGCGCAAAGCTACACGAGAGCTATCTGCGCTAGCCGTCCCTAATTTAGCAGTATAAGACTAGAGGGAAGGCAGCTAGTCGTCACCACACACCGCCAACTCTTGGACTACTCTTTTACCAACGAATAGTGGGATTGACCGTCACCTTGTAACGCCCCCACGGCTGAAAGGACGAGCATGTTTGTTGGGACGGGGATTCGAACCCGCAGATTGCGAGTCGAGTGCCCTAACCACCTGGCCAAGCCGGGTTATTGGTCTTCAGATAATGATAAAAAAAAACTTTATTTCAGCCAACGTTTCGCCTTCGCGGTTTCATCAGGGAGATCAAATACTGCTTTTTTTTTCTCTCTAACTTTATTGCCAAAATGAAGATATAAAAATCCTAAACTTTATCAGGTTAAATACTATAACATCTCATCTTACAGAAACACTGATTGGCATAAGTGAATAATAACAAAGAAATAGTAGAAGAAAAATCAAAACTAGAAAACAACTCTAGCTTTTCTGGTGACTTATAGACGTGAGTTTTAGGTCAAAGATCACAAGCTGTGAAAATTATCTCAAAACTTGATCCATCAAATAGGACATAAAGGTTTCTCTGATGGAAGAGTTATAAAGAAAGATATATGAAGGAAAATTACCGCCGAATCACTTTGAGGAGAGGGTGGATTTTCCTCCTGAAAAATACAAAGATACTCAATAATATCGCGTGATATATAAAAATAGAAAATAAACTAAAATTCAGCAATAGATAAAATACATAGTTCAAGTTAAAATCTCATCCATACAAACTAGAAGAGGTAAAAAAGCCGTAAAGTGGCTTAAAGTTTAATTATTATGTGTATTCAGTTACAGAAGTTGCACGGATTTAGCTGCTTTATAATACACACGAATTAAGCAGGAAAAATAAGTGGAAATACAAGACTGGTTGGTTTACGAGTCATGGTTAAAACTACTATAATACACACGAATTAAGCAGGAAAAATAAGTGGAAATACAAGACTGGTTGGTTTACGAGTCATGGTTAAAAGTAATGTAATACACACGAATTAAGCAGGAAAAATAAGTGGAAATACAAGACTGGTTGGTTTACGAGTCATGGTTAAAACTACTATAATACACACGAATTAAGCAGGAAAAATAAGTGGAAATACAAGACTGGTTTGTTTACGATTCATGGTTAAAACTAATGTAATACACACGAATTAAGCAGGAAAAATAAGTGGAAATACAAGACTGGTTGGTTTACGAGTCATGGTTAAAACTACTATAATACACACGAATTAAGCAGGAAAAATAAGTGGCAAATACAAGACTGGTTTGTTTACGAGTCATGGTTAAAACTACTAAGTTTTCTTTGTCAAGATAATCCAGTTTTTCAAAGCTGTTAATTACGGACTTTCTAGGCAGGTTAGAGAATTGTTTGACTTAGGAAGTGAGAATAAGCTTAAGTTACGCTGATTTTGATAATAAAACGAAACAAAACATCTCAGTCTGAATTCGATGATGATGATGACAAAACCTTGTCGAAACGTTGTACATTTGCTGTCATGTTAAACTTATATTAAAGTTTTTCTTCATTACCCATTTAAGCCGTCTCCAGCCATTATTAATCTCAGTCTGAAGTACCGATTTGACATTTTAAGAAACTGGGAAGAACTCTAATTAGAGCCGAATAGTTTAATTAATGACCTGTTTCATAACTTACAGAGAATACATCATTTGGGGGGGTCAGCTGTGACACTAACCGAAATCTGAGTACAATTGTTTAAGAACAATCGAAAACACTTTTACTGTTTTACAAGATTCATTTTGCCTTTTCATAAATATTACACAATTCAGTCGTCTTTGAACTGTCTCGTGTAACGTACATTTTGATATACCAATATTATTATAGCTCTTTCTTACTATTAGCTATTACAGGCTAATTAATTGAAAATCTCTTAATTAATGCTACTAAACATATCAGGGTGTACATCCAACGAATTAACAAGGTGTTAAAATCGAGATACAGTTGAAACTATCCAAACACCAACCGAGAGCTTTTCTTCGGTAGATAATCGGCCAAATCTCGTGGATTTCCAGTTTTCTAGGATTAACAGACCTGCATATATTTTTCCAACAGTAAGACTTCCTTCTCGAAGGACTGTTTGATTAAAAGATTAAGAAAAAACGATTAAAAAGATGAAGATAAACACCAAAAATGGATTAAGTATGGTAGAGGTAGAAGAGAATTAATAGAAATATATTAGTAAACACGTGTGTACACACAGTGTGAAATGTAAAACATTAGTACCAAAAATATGTGAAGGTCAGAGGAAGGAATAATACACACAGGATGAAGGGTAAAACATTAGTACCAAAAATATGTGAAGGTGAGAGGAAGGAATAATACACACAGTGTGAAATGGAAAACATTAGTACCAAAAATATGTGAAGCTCAGAGGAAGGAATAATACACACAGTGTGAAATGGAAAACATTAGTACCAAAAATATGTGAAGCTCAGAGGAAGGAATAATACA